GTGATTTCTTTGAGGTAGAGCAGTTGTTGTAGGGTTTTCCTATATTATTTCTCTTATGCTTTTCTTGCTTCAGTGCAAGTAACTCCAAATTACTGAAAAAGTAATTTTGAAATCTTTCAAAACCAGATCTGGATTCAGAGTATCTGTGTTCTTAGGTCATGTGCAGTTAAAATGTAAAGAATATGCAAGCATGAAATTTCAGATAAAATTTTCAAAATGTTTTCCTTAAATGGTTACAAACATTTAGGATCCTATCTCTTCTTCAGTCTCTCTGGATTGAAAATAATAAACAAAAACTTGGAAACTAGTCTGTTGAACGTGGATTTTTAAATATACTTCTAATTGATAGTTAGTAAGGCTAGGGTTCAAAGTTACTACATTATCCCTCTTAAAAATCTTACAAATTTTACACATACGCTGTTGATAAATATGTGTGTGCATATAAAGGCAAGGATATACATCTCTGTATATATATGTATGTATAAAGCAGAATATTTTTCTGAAACTGGATTTTCTGTATTTCTCTTTTACCCAATGCAGGAATGATTTTTTTTTTTTTGTTACTGTCATAAGGTCCCACTTTATACTTGTAGTAATCGGTGATCTACACTTCTGCTCATATTTGGTATTTAAGATTTGTTGAATAAGCTGTACAAGTCAGATCAGAAAGCATTTCTGGTTACTGGTTTTGCAACAAGAAAATACAAAAATACAACGGCTGGCCATTGGAATCCTCTCTTTTCTGCTCTAGAAGGGCTGCAGATGAGGGCTGCCTTTTGAATTGATTGACATGGGGTGATGTTTGTGTTTTGACAGTTATGAAAATGTGCAGCTGTTCATAAAGAAATAGAAATTGAAATCTGTGGTCTTAGAAAATTAACCTGATCTTACTATTTATTCCATCTGTTCCCATGCTTTCAGAGTATCCATTTTCCTTTTCAGCAGACCTTTCTTTTATTTTTGAGTTTTGCCTTTTGTATGCTGATAATACATATATGTATACCAATGAGATTAATTCATGCAAAAGTGACAGTCAAAAATCATATTCTTGGAAAAAAATTCTCCAGTGTATTTAAAAGTGATAGCTAAGAAAATTGTCTTAAAATTAAACCATTTTCCATTATAAATTTTTTAGAGATTATTATGAAACCCCTGAAGAGGAGCAACACAGATCAACTGTAAAACATAAAGCTACAATAAGACCTATTTAACTTAAAATTTCAATACATACCAGTAATTGTAGGGTGTTGCCTTTTGTTGAAATTAGCTTAGCTTAGCTGGCATGGTTTTACTGTGTAAGAGGGCATTACTGTAGAAATCTGAAGCATGAAGTAGAGAGCAAAATGCATTATCCTGTGCTCCTAAGCAAACGTTTTAATCACAGGATATGCTATTTGTTTTAAATACTTCCTTGACATGTTGCTCTGTTAAATTCAGTACTGAGTGAAATATAATAGAGTACGTGGGTTTAATTCCAAATAATTTAGCAAAAGACAGCAAGTGATTAATTCAGAGTTTATATAAAATTTTGTTATCTCTAGTATAGGAATCTGTTACAAAGAAATATGTCTTGCCCTCTGTGCTTTAAGTATGTGGCCCAATAGTAAGTGAACAGACAATGTAATGTAATTCTTAGTCTAACGAGCACATATATTTCTGTTGCAGCTGAGTGTTAACGTATTTAATTTTACTTTTTGTTTTGTCGTCCCCCCCATGTAACCATGTTCATTGAGGGAAGTATAGTTTTTTTCCCTGCTAATCTGTTTTTATTGTTAAGTTTTGTACTCCAAATTCTACAACCTGCCTTTCGGACCTTCCTTACACTATTATTATTGATCTGCTAGAGTCAACAGATGTCATTTACCTCCTCCCAATTGTTTTCTTGTTAACCTAAACAATGTAAAGTGAAAATTACAGTGTTTTCTAAAATCTCAGACATTCCTTTTTAAAGTCTTAGCTCTTGTCGGTTTTTACACAGCTGTTAATCAGGAGTTACAGAATTATTTTTGTGAACAGATCTCTTTGCGTGCTTTTTCTATTACTGCCCTGTAGGTCTTTTGAAGAAGTGTATGTAAAATGTATTAGCACTTTATATAAGTAACACTCATTGAAAACTTTACCAAATCTTAATAAATTTATGGTCGTTTTTTTAACCACAAAGTCAGTTTATTAGTGAAGGAAGTTAATTAGATATATTAGAAAAAGAAAAGTTTACTTGGAGACAGGAACATATTTTTTATAAGCATGGGATTTAAGGTCTGTATTTGGATGAGTGGCTTGAATAAGTGCTGCTGGTTTTTTATGAGCAGTTTGCTCATCTGATTTGACCTGAAGTTACACAATACTGTTTACATGGACCGGTAAGAAAGTTTGTAGGAGGGTAGTTTTTTACTTTCTTAAAAAAAAAAAAAAAAAAAAAAAATCTCTTATTCAGAAGGATTCCAAGGAAAGGAAGAGGGCAGAAACAGTTAGTATTTCTGATATTTTAAATAAAGTTAGCAGCCTCTTTAATAAGCAGTAATAGAAATCCACTGGATGGATTTGCTGGATGATTATAGTAAAATTTCTTCTATTTATGTCATGAGTTTTGAAAAGAAAGAGAAGAAATAGATGCTAGAGTTTTAGATCCTCCTGCATGAAATTATAATACAAATTCTGGTTTGACAGGTCTTTCCTCTGGCTAGCCTTACACCCTGGGCCAGCTTCCTTCTGGTTTTGTTTGAGAAATCAGTTGTCAGACTTGATATAACACTGAGGATCACACTGGAATGCTTTCTGGTCACGAACTATGAAGGAAATGCTAAGTGGTTGAGAAATAATATATCAGTAGAGTATATTTTGAAGTAATATAGTTCTAAATGCCTGTTACAACTGAGGTCTTAGTTGTGATAGGAAATAAATCAGAATCTTATGGAGTCTAAGTTGACCTGGAGTTGCATTCATCATTCTGACATCCTCTGACACCACTTCTGATGATGTAGATTGGTAATGGGTTCTTCTTTCCCCTGGCATGGATCTTAGTAGTGTGACTTCATTCAGCAGTACATAAGATCCACACTTTACAAAATATGCAATCCCAAAAAAGTGTTATACAGAACATTATATAAATTTTATAAAAATTTATGTGAGATGTTTCATCTGTGTTTCATTAAATAGCTGTCATGTACCTGTACATTGAGCTGTTGTGGTACCAATCCAGATTTTCTGTATGATTGTTCATTGAGTTGACGTTTTGCTGCGTTTTACAAGAGGATGTAATGATACAAACTTGTTCAGATTGGGCAATGCTGCAACACAGTCATTAACCAAAATGCTGCTAAAACTCTAGATTCCTTTTTTTAACCTTTGCCTCACTAATCCCATTGAATGCAGCAGAATGTTCATCAACAGTAATTTAAGACTGCTTTCTCCAAAAGAACAGTACCAAACTAGCTGGTTTTAGGCAGGTTTTTTTTGGCAGGATTACTGTTGGATGGTGGAGTTGCAACTTGGTCACCCCAGGGGTAGTAGAGATTCAACCAGCTGGAGTTCACATTTGGTGAACTAGGTTTGCAGTACAGCTCACAAGGTGTCTACAAAGCAATTTTTCTGTTGTGTTCTGGCACGGAACTTACTTTTAAATTATTTTCACCTTGCTTTTCATTGTTGTTCACCCCCTACACTGACTGTGTATCTTCAGTTGTGTCGTGTTACGTACTAGTCAGGATACATACACAAAATATTTCATATCTTGTTTGTTACTGATTGAATAAACTTTTACACTTCTCTTAATAGAATTTTTAAAGCAGTTTTATTTTCTGATGTCTATTCCACGTATGATGATGCATGAAAGTGATGTGTACGTCCATTACAGGAACAGAGCAGTCACAGAAGCCATGGGGAATAGTTAGCATCGGGAAAAGAGAATTTGTGTAGATGTAAGTGGCTTACTCTGAAGGTCATAGTTAGTGAGTTTTGTGATTAAAATTTTGTCAACCTTTAAAAAAATGTCTAGAGGCAGTGACTCATTCTATATTAGCATTTACCTCTTTGACATATAAGCCTGTTAAGAACAGGTGCAAAAATCCTTTTAGAAAGCGCCTGAGTCCTGGTTTTGAGAAAAGATGAGGCAAGAGGTGACTTTAAAGGGAAATCCCCCTAGAATATGTCTAAAGTAAGCAAATATATATATATTAAAATATTAGAACTGTAGCAAAGTATTTTGCAAGGCCTGTTTCTCGTTTTTCCAGGTCTGATTTGGTTTCAGTAGTTCAGTTTACGTTCAGTATTGTTGTCTGTGTATCAGGATTATGCACTTATCTGAAAGCAAGGTGTTGCACACACTAAAGTTCTGTTAAGCTTCTGACTGCCCTTGAGGTGAACCAGGATGCTGATAAATTCAAAAAATTTGGTCTTTGGTAAATGTTGTAATAAGAATAAAGATAAAAGTAAAGTAATGTGAAAATGAAGACATTTTTCTCCCCACATATTGCTTAAAATTCTTTTCCTATTCTTTGATTTTTGAATGAACCAGAAAATACACAAAAATATGCCAAGTGGTTTTGTGTGCCCTGATTATATAACTCATTCACAAGTGTACTTTTAAGGCTAGTAATTTCATCTTATTTCTTCTTTATTGATTGTAAAATATGCATAATTATTAAATATTAGTAGTAATTTTGCGTAAACTTCATTTTTTTTATCCTTTGTTTTAATTAATTTATAAAAATATTTAATGAAGCATTGTACTTCTGTGCAGAGCTTAGTTTTGAAAATCTGAAGTAGGGGTGCACCTTCTTGCCTTATGGTTACATTTGTTTGCCTATTTAAAACATTTTACAACATGTCACATAATATGAGAAAAAGTTTTCCTATTTTCTCATCTTTCTTCAGGAGAAGAAAAAGATACATAAGCAAAATGGACTTATGACACACTAGTGAGAAATACCTTGTTTAATGTAGGCACATCACAAACTGATCATTCTAACAAACACACTTAACAAAATTAATTGTGTTTCTAGGTTCCATGGTTCCTTTCTCCATGCGGATTTTACATGCTGAACTTCCTCAATACCTTGGTAATCCTCAAGAATCACTTGACAGACTTCATAGTATGAAGATAATCTGTGCCAAGGTAACAGCATCTCTTTGCACTAACATTTCTTAATGTTTAAGAAATAAATTTTATTGTCCTTGTAAAGAACATTAAGTTTCAATGATGACTTGTTTTACTCCCATCTTGATGCAAATACGGAGCTCGCTATTAAAAGTAATGAAGTGCCTCTTTCCTTTCAAGAGACATCCTTCTCACCTCTGTGATAGCTCTGACTCAAATGAGTAGAACAGGGGACAACTTTTGTGCTTTTGCCAGACAAGATGTGGAGGATGGTGAGCAGATGTGTTTAAGGGCAAGTAGGGGAGATTTCTTTCCTTCACTCAACTGAAAACATTGTTAATGACCTTGATCCTTTGGAAATAGTCTGGATTTTTCAGAAGTAGTCCAAATAACTGGTTTTGGAAACAACAGTCATTTGGGAATATAAGTACAACCATCTGAATTTGTTTTGGGGGATTTGGTTTGGTTTGTCAAGTAGTATAATACAAAATTATGGCCTGAATTATAACATGGGATTTGTCGGTGCTGAAATTGGAGTCATGGGGTTGTGAGCACAAACTCTTTCCACTAAAACCAAAATGCTGACAGTAAGGATTTGTCCTTAAATGTTTTTTACATCTTTTCCAGACAGTCTAATGCACCAGTGATTATGAATTGTTACCATGTGATAAACTCTAGAAGAAATGCAATATTATTGCTTTATCTGTGACACTTGAAAGTTCAAAACTGTACAAAATAAATATATGCAATTTATTTTCAATATTCCATGGAAGTTTCCTATATTTACTCCTTAAATAACTTGGATAAGAGAAGTGAAGGGAAATGGTAATTGCCAATCGTATGGCTGTATGGCCTTACATATATGAAATCAACTTGCTTCTAGCCCAGTGATTGCTAGGATAACCAAATGTTTACAGTAAAAAGTCGAGTTCTTAGCATTATGAGGGGGAAAATGAATGGTTTAGGTAATAAGAAGTGAATGTGGCATTTGTTACAAAGTTTGAAAGAACTGATTTGGAAATGGGTGAGAGATGTCTCAGTTTGGCCAAGAAGTGCCACTTCTTAGCACTGCATGAATACCGTTACCTGTTGATGACCATCTCATCTAATAATATTCCTGGCAAACTGTCCTCTACAGCCCTTTTCCTTATAAACAGTCCTCAGTTTGAAGTAATTCTGTTCTTCTAGGAAATGCTGTATGCCTCTGTTGCAGGATTTCATGGTGCTTCTACTAACATTTGCCTACCCTGGTCTGGAGCAGATCAGCTGTCTTGTATCTTTGTTTTATGTGATCTGGTATTAAGTGCTGCGTTGTCTGCCTTCAGTCATGAAGGGGCTACTAGGTACCAAAAACTGAACTTGTTCGTAAGTTCCTTCATCTTGTAACAAAGAGAGAAAACTGTATGAATGTGAACGAGGGAGCAACTGCTGAGCAAAGGTGTTCATCAGCCATCTGGCAAACTTTATGGAAATGGCCACATCTCAGTTACAGTGTGATCAGCCATGATTCTCCATAGATTAGAGATGCTTGGTAAATAAGAGGAGTGAAAGGAAAGGAAATTAACTCCCTCCTCCCACCCTCCCCACTCCTTTGTAAGACCTTTAAGTCATCTACAACCTTGCGCTGTCCGCCTCTGCTCTTTTCCTTAAGTGTATATCCTTAGAGCCTACCCAGTGTACCAAGGAAGCTTTTAAACAATAATACAAGATTTTGTGAGCTAGGCTGATTATTGGTTTAAGTAAGGGAAATTAGATATGCTGGAGAAGATGAAATAGAAGTAAAGGAAAGTTACAGATTATTATATACATATTTCCCTGCCTGCTAAGTTCTTTGAAGACAGGTCTGTTTACTCATTTTCTCACTCCATCAATTGCTGGTTACCTAGGTCACTACAAATTATCCCTTGTGCCCTTGGGGGAAGCTTTTTGAGTCTGACTGTGTCTTCCACAAGCCCTTCTGAGTAGTGCCCTGTTCTCTGCACTTGATGTTGGTTCACAGACTGTCACCTCTTTGTCTCTGCCTTCCTGTGTCTGAGTTTGCAAGGTTTCTCCTGGGGTGATGGGTTCAATTGCAGCAAGAAAAGGAAAGATCTCCCTTTGGTTCTGACACCTTCCACTAGAATTAGGATACAGTAACCAGGACAAGCCATTGTCTCTGCTGATGGATGCTCCTTTTTAAAGTGCAGTACACAGCTACAAAAAAATAAAACATACCATCCTTCTCAGAGAAATATTTCTGATCCATTATTCTAGACACCTCATTGCAGATTACTTCATTTGTTTGCATTCAATTAAATACCTTGTCTTTTGGAGCAATTCAAAGACAACAAGAGTATAAAAAAGGACAGCTTGTATACATAACTGGTTTTAAAAGGCAGTTGTAAATTGGTGATAATTTAACCATTTGAAGTTAGGGTTGACTGACAAAAAACATTGTATATATAAATGTTTTGATATTTGTATGGAACACTATTTGTCCAACAATCTCAATCTCAATTGGACCATTCAAGAATAATGTTTATAATACTTATAAAAACCCAAGGCAAAACCAAGAAAATAACATAAAGAATGTACACTCATTATTCTTAATATTTCTATGTGACACTTGGGAACCATTTGGGTTATAACAGAATTAATTGGGGAGCTTTCAACCAAAAGCCTCTAGTGTTTTACTTCCCTATTTTAAAAAGTAGAAAAATAATCTTTGGTCATCTGTATTTACAGAAGGGCATAGGAATAGTCATTATGTAAATGAGATGATCTTGGAGTCATAAAAGCTAGAAGAAAGAAAAGACCTATTAGCTCACCTAGTCTGTCTCTGTGCAATGCAAGGTTGTTTTCTCGTTTTTAATGAGCCAGCCTATGGAGCTGAGGCCACATCCCCTGGGAGGCTATTCCAGGGTAATGCTAATGCATTCTGATCATAAGAAAATTTGTCTTTATATTTTGTGTCTGTTCCTTAATGTAACTATGGGATTTCTTCCTATCCGATACTTGCTTTTAATCTGCTTAATTCCTTCTTGCTTTTTATCGTAAATATTCTACAGACACTTGTCAACTTTAGATTAGTTATTTCAGTTAAAGATGTAATCGTATTTATTTTGGTTACTTGGTCATTTCAATCCCCATCTACTTACATACTTATGGTACCTGAAAGCAGGATTGGAGGTTGGGTGCAAAAATGGTATTTTCATTTTCCATGTATATATTTTTCCACATACATATTTTCCTGCAATGATGTTTTTACCTTTTCCAGTGTTCCGGCAAATTTTTAATCAAGATCTGGTTAGATATTTTACATCCTTGTCTATAGGTAGGACATTTGGGAAAGAAATTATCTGTAGTGCCAAGTAGGTGTTATAGCTTGGGGGAGCAATCCCATGAAATTGTTACTGCCTCTGTGTTATTGCAGGTCTTCCCAACATGAACTGCCTCAATGAGTTGTTGCCCCTGTAAGTCTGCCTTGAAATAAATGGTCTCTGAACAGCCAGGCAGTAAGAGTAACAATAGTAATTTAAATCACAAAAGGGTTTGTTCTTTTCAAGTCTTCATTTAAAAACATAGGCATGCTCACTTTAGTGCTAATAATACTGAGGACGTGCTACAAAATGCTTTCCCGGAGACCAAAATGTGAAAAGAACAACAGCTGGGCTTAATCCAAACCCTTCCCTTGTTTGTGTCAGTGCTTCCTAGATGTTTGAGGGAGAGCTTCTGGAAATACTCAAATCTCATAATATAATGTATTTCACTTTTAAACTGTAATCCTTCAAGTGCCAGAGCCATACTGGGCTCTTTTACCAGGTGGGTGGAGCAGTGGTAAATGGCTTAACAGTCCTGCTTCCTAAAAAAGCCTCTGCCAATTGTTACCTCTGCAAAACTTGTCAAAAATACTTTGTGCCATTTGTCCAGCCACTCTGTAGTTCCACCACTCTTATTCATGAGGAATTGTGTTCCTCTCTGGCCCTTGGATACACACCCTTCATATCTCCTAATCTTCTGTTTTACTTCCAAATCAGTGAACTTTTCAGTCTCTTAACTACTGATTATTCTGGGGTTTCATTTTCATTCAACTTCCAGATCTGTCTCGGTTTCTTAGGTGACATAAGGATTCTGTTTGTCATATGTTATTTAAGTCTAGAGGGTATTTGTCTTGACACCTTGTTTGGTAAGCTTGTAGAAACTATTGATGATCTGTGTACCAGTCTGAGTACCCAAAAAGCCACAATTCCAGAAGCACCAAAAAAGGCTATTTTGACTAAAAAGCTAGTGCTGATCAAAAGTTATGGGAGAAGGAATTAGGTATTAAAAAGAGATACATAAGAATAGATAATAAAAATAATAATATAATAATAATAATGGCCAGTCTTCACAAGTGAAGATCCGGGGAAGGTCTTTCCACCTTCCAGCCTGCGCATTGGATTTTTTAGGTGAGACACAGTGTGCGCGGAACTGAGCCCACCCTTTAATCCTAAGGTTCATCTACCGGGGCCAAGCGAGCTTGGACGGTGGCAGCGAGGTCCTTAGGACGTAGGTGGGTTGCCTTTAAGGGCTAACGAGCTCCATCTGCCCGGGAGTGTCCCTGACCGGGAATCGAACCCGGGTCTCCACGGTGACAGCGCCGCACCCTTACCACTAGACCACCAGGGGCTCCTACATAAGAATAGATACTAGGGATGCAAATGGCGGTATGAATAGATTAGTAATTCCAGCATACAGGCAATGGATAGGGAATGAAACAGAAGACTCAATGAAGTAATACTAGCCAGTGAAGTAATGATTGTGCATTTATAAATATTCAAAACAATAAAAAGCATAGATCATATGTGAAACTGATGATGTAAATTATAGAAGTGTTCAATCATATTTTTATTTATAATAGGAGCAGGGATGGTTAGAGCTATCTCTTATGATAATGCTATAATATAGTTTACCAGCTAAATATTTCATATCAACTAACCCAAATAGCTTACACTGAGGAACTGTTGGAATCATTAATGTTACTGTTAAACAATTCTTGAAAAACTGGGGAAATGCCCAGATACGGGAAAACTGCAGATGATGTTCTTATACTTAAGAAGGGCAAAAGAGATAAACCTAGGGAATAAAACAATTAGCCTCAAATCATCACCAAGCTCTGTTTTAATTACGTTAAGTTGAAGTGAGGGCTAGATATCCCCAAGTAATGTCACAGAATGGTTAATGCAATACTCTAATTTTATGCTAATATCAAATTCTTTCATTTTTGATTATGTTAGTGAGCACATTTTCAGAGAAACTTGTCTTTCTAAACAGGACAGCCTGTTTCCTCGATGAAGGCTCTTTGTTATGTTTATACCATTTCAAGAGTAGGAACTTTGAGCCTTATTGAGACTGAGAAGCGATCACTAGGTATTTTGTAGGAGAGGAGAAAGATCATGGGGTTTAGACCACAGAAAATAGATTATAAAGTGGTTCAGATTTGTGAGAGAGATGTTTTTCTCTGACAAGGTGCCTTATTATACACTAAGCATTTAACACTGAAATGTGGCCCTTTTGGTTTTAAGTGATTTCTAGGTGGCTACACTGCTTTTGAGAGTCAGCCTTGCAGCAATGCTACTGCCATCTCATAAATTGCCACCTATCAGTGAAGCTGCAGTATCTAATGGTATATTCTCATAGTCTCTCAAAATCTGAGATAAGGTAGCTCAGTCGCCCCTTTGTGAACAAAGTTTACAGTAAATCATACTACCTGGTGTTTGTCATGGGCTAAAAATTCTTATTAGCCTGGCTCAGCTGGCAGGTGGTAACTGCTCTGCTTTCATTGTATGTCCCTCCTTGCTCCTTAATTCCTTGTAGCTAAATTTATGGCACTAACTTCAAGATTTCATTCTAGTCTATGAAAAGAGCATAGCATAGCACTCTCATAGAGTAATATCTTCCAACCTAAGATGTCTAAAATTGGTGGCATGAACTGGCACTCTGGTTATCTTCATTGGCTGTAGAAGGCACCAATACATTTTCTGAGGCCAGATTAATTCTACCTGCCTTTGTTTTGGAGGATTTCCTGCACTGATTTTTAAGTGTTCCCTTATGAAGCACTGAGCAAAATAGGAATGCTTTGTTGGTGTAGGAAAAGACAATTACTTTTTATACTGACAGAAGTTGAAAGCTCTCTGTCTGGAAGTGCAGTCAGTCCCCAGAAGAGGCAGTACCCTGTATTTCCCTCACCAGCTGACCACAGCAGCTGGTTAAAGAGCAAGTGACCTTAATATTTTTCAAAGGAAATCTCAAGCATTGTTCTACAACCGAAATTATAAATCTGTAACAGGAAAGGTGGGGTGATCTGTGGGAACTGGAAAACAAATTTGGAGAAACTGTAATGGCATTTGGAAAAGCAAAGTTGACTTGCATTTCAAATGAAGCCTTACATGCATATTTTGAAAGTGCTTAAGACACAAGCTTCATTAAATATATGTTTTCATTTTTCCAGTGGAACAACAAATGTTTCATTCACTCAACAATTTACATGATTTAAAATCTATGAAAAATAAAAAAGAAGCAATAAACTCCAAAGTTTGAGAAGGAAATTGCAGTAAGAACTAAGAGGAATACTTCAATGCAGAGAAAAATATGGAACTAGAGCCCATACTTAGGTTGAGGGAGTCAGGAGGCAGTGGCTTTCTATGAAAAAATTAGTTTGACTTGTGTTGTGGTCATTAACATCTATTCTCTGGTGAAGCATATTTCATATTTTACTTAATAAAATGTGAATATCCCTAGAGTGTGCTGACATTTAATGTTCTTTAAGTATCATAAACCCGAACTCTAACATCCTTCTACTGTACAATGGCTTTCTTACTTTGTGCACTTGGTCTTGCTATGGTAATAACCAGTAATCTTGAACAGTACCTAGGTACAACATTCCTGCATGAATTGGTTTACATGTAGTCTGTCAATTGTAGATAATTTGCATTAAATATATAGTACTGTTTAAACTCATCTTGGTTACTTTAAAAAATTTACTACAGATATTAGAAAATTTGGAACAAGGCTTAGCTGAAGATGGAAGTATGACTAACATTACACAAGAGAACAGACAAGGTAGGTATTCTTTAAACATTTTTTTCACAGGCAGCCTACTTTTATTGCTTGCCTAAGTATGCCAGAAGTTTTCACAAGACTACCCCAGAGTGGTTAAAACAGTATTTTTGTAATCTCATAGTCTACTCAGCCCCCAAAATGATGCACCTTGTACTTTTATTTGCTGGAATTAATTTCACAGTTTTGCCCTTGATCGAACTGATGCACTAAATCAATTCTTTTTCCTACTTAGAAGAAACAAAGAACATGTTGGCTACCCTTTAGTGATGAATATATAAGTATATTGCTGCCGCAACTAGATGGATGTCTCATCTTAAGCCTTGGCTGACCAACTCCTCTCAATCCTCATGTCTGACATCCACTCAATTTTTTCAGATTGAACTGCCATCATACAGTGGCCATGCTGGCCTAGGGTGCTGCTGCATAGATGGCTGAGTCTCACTGTAGCTGCATCGTGCTTAGACTCCTCCAATACCTAAGGCACTAGAAAAATATGTACATTATGTTGAGCTGCATCATCATTTTCATGATTTTGTATCCAATTATGTTTTCTCTTATTCCTTCTATTTTAGTTGTGTAGCTTCAATAGTATAGGGTACATTACTGCATAAAAAAGGGTGATCAGGACAAATTAGTTATCCAAGCATTTTTTTTAAACAGATGAAGTCATTTGACTATATTTGAGAGTTGGACAAGAGGTGACATTTCAGGCATTGCTATGGATTTTATGGACCCCTCGTAGTGCCTAGCAAGTTTAAAACATCACACCAGAAAAAAAAAACCTTTTAGCTTCAGCTAACATTCTAAGGAATAGCATTCACCTAGAGCCTGTGGGAAGTTAATGTCTGGCTCTGAGATGGGAAGAAAACAAGTAGAGTTAGTACCAGACTAAAAAAGTTATTATAAAAAAGTCTGTAAAACAGTGTCTATATGGTGCAGACTTCTGCAGTCTTCATTTTGACTGGATGTAAAAGCATCTTGAATGTTTTACTGTACTTGACTTAATACCCCTTCTGTATGTCCGAAGAATATTAACACGTGAGTAGCATATATTACAAAGATATTTGCAGATGCAGTTGAATACATTCACTACTCTTCTCAAAAGGGTTAGGAAAAAGGGAAAGAATCTGACATTGAAGATTTATCCATAGCACTTCAGGAGTTTGTGTTCTTCTGTCTTGTATCTAAAATTCTTTTTGCCTCTGTTCTACTTACTTTTCCCCATTAGCCCTTTCTACCAGATGTTTGTTCTTATCCCCACATCGTTTCCTTTTTACCACTTTAAAACCAGGATGTTGGTCCCCCATTAAGATACAAGGACTTTTTACTTGCTGTGTCATAATCCTGTGTCCTGCAGTCTGCCTCACTCATGAGTGTCTGACTCCTTGCTTTTCCTCTCTGCTGCTGCTTCAGAGCTCAGATGGCCTCAGAGGGAGGCATAGTTATAAAAACAGCAGCTAGTAGTTACCAAGGGACATGGCTGCAGAAAATTTGGAGAGATTTTTGCATGTCTGCTGTGCAGCTGCCTGTATGTTTAAGACTGCCAAAAAGCCCACGGGACTTTTGCAGAGACTGTTGACTGCTACTGTCTGTAGAGGTCAGCCAGGTCTGCTCCCTCTCTGCTTCCTTGCTGCATTTTTAGCTCCAGGAGGCTGATAATGGGTTTGCTTTCTTTCATCTGAGACTAGCTGAAGCAAACCTTATTAACTTTATGTGAAGACAGCCCTAATTCATTATGGGGATTATGCTTAGCCTGTAATTTCCATGCTACGGATGTTAAGAAGGTGCAACACCAATCAACTTCCCATGTACATCTCCTCTAGTCTGGAACAGAGCACCTCATTTGCCAGCTTTTCAGCAGGCAGAGAGATTTAGCGTTGCAGCACTTGCCTGGTAACACGTTCTATGAGATGCCAATTTTGCAACTTCACAGTGCACAGGACACGTATTGAAATGAATGGCAGTGTGGAGTACAGAGTTCTTGATGAATAACAAGGAAAAGGAAGTGCTTAGAGTGGAAACGTGACTGCATGGACCTGCAGAGGGGGTTTCAGGCATCTCAGTAACATACAATGATCTGCTGTTGGGTTTTTGGTTTTGTTTACTGCTTTGCAGGTTTTCTTTAACCCCTTCTACCAGTGATAAGAATCCTCATCACACAGGGCTACGAGATTTCCAGACAAGGTTCTGTGCAGTTGATATCACAGACTGAAGATATCTGGCCTGCCTGCTTTGCAGTCCTTTTTTGAGAAGTGTAGCTGGTGCTATCTGATTGTTAACAGGAAACCTAGATGTCTCCATTGTAGGAATCAACATTTAACTTGTCACCTAAGTCCTAAAAAGCTGAATGTGATTACCAAACTATGAGGACATGCAAAAAAGGAGGTATTTACTTAATAACTCCCCTTTATTGTTTCACTATAATTATGTCCAGGTTTTACACACACCTACAAGAAAAGAAAAAAGGAAATGTGTCGTAAGGTATTTGCTCATGGTGTACAGCATCCTCGCCATTAGTAGCACTAGCAAAATGTGGTCAAGGGGGAATTTCTAAAACAAAAAGCTAGAAGTAACGAATGATTTTAAGTTTCAGTGGATGAAATACTGGATTCAGTGTTGAGCCCCACAATACCCCTCTTTGGACAAAGATAATTTGAGAGTATTCATGTGTTGGGATTTTTTGTTTTATTGTTGGAGAGGATTGAGGGAGCTTTCTTTTTTAGGAAGAGGAGTAGACATTTCACCAAGCTCTTCTTATTCGTAATGACATTTTTTTGTGCTGAAAGAATTATCTGTGTAACCTGCCATACTTTCATCAGAGACTACATTAATGATACAAATGAGTGGTCTCAGTTCTCACAATTTCATTGAAATAGCCTCTTCTCCCTTCCCCCACCCACTTTCAAATCATTACAGTGACCTTGACAGCTGATTGACTGAGACACATTTCTTTTTCAAATGTTCTAAATTAATAGTCCTAGAGTTTATTTTTGAGGATTAGAGGAATATTTCTAGCATCGATCTAGGGTACTGTAACACAAGAGAAAATAAGGATCTGTGTGAACCATTCTCTTACAACATCAGGAGCCTGTCTGCAGAGTGAGAGGGAGAAATCTGCTGCTGCAGCTTTTAATGCCTGCAAACCCCAGGAGCATGGGGAAAGCAGACAGGCTTGGCAGATTTTTTCCAGCATATCTCTAAGCCAGAGGCAAGCACAAACAGTCCCCGACTCAGACATTTCTCACTCTGCATGTTTTGACTCTGAAATTACATTCTAGCTGTGTTTAATTTTTGAATTTATCACATTTAATGCTGTAGATTAGGTGGTTTTTAACTGATGCTCATTATCACTTGGATCCTTTTATGCACCTTTTGTTCTGATATTGGAAAATGCGTGGCTTATTTTGGTGTTTAATATTTGGCCTGAGCTGAAAGCTGAGTGGCTGTCTATTGCTCTGCATTGTTGCATCGTGTTTGTTACCCCGAGCTGCTTGAGCAATTCCCTCAGAGAGATGCAGAATTCTCTGATGCTGCAGCATGGCTGGGAATTAAAAATTCTAGGCTAAAACGCAGTGGTGTTAACGAGGGGGACCTTTCAAAATTCGTAGGACCAGTAATTGATGGCAAGAAAGAACCTCTAATTTATTTGTGCAGATTCACAAGCTGCTCTTATTTTGCAGCTTCTGTTCAGCTGTGGAGGTCACGTCTGGGCCGGGTGATGTACTCCATGGCAAACTGTCTGCTAATGATGAAGGTACGTGGGTGGCAGAACTGCAGAGGTACCGTATATTCCAGAAGAGGATGTCACAGAAAGTGCAAGTGAATTACTGGTGCAGAGATAAGGGAAGACTACCTGACAGTACATGAAGGTTTTGCTGAGTGAAGTATTAATTAGACTTAATAATGTCTTATTTAATAGATAGCTATTTGCAGTAATGTTCTTTGGGAACGTATCTGTACTTATTTCTCCCCAAATCATCCTAGAGAACATGCAATAACAATACAGAATTTGCATTTTTAAATTGAATTTTTCAAACACTTAACTAAATGCTCAAATTAAAAGCAATTATGTGCTCTATCTTTTTCAAACTGCAGTAGGAATGTGGCTGTTTGTGAGGATTAATAACACTGTAGCCTTTGTAGCTGATGAAGATCCAGAACATCTAAATACATCCTCCCCTGTCAACCGATCTCAGTTGTAATATATCTTCTTTCACGTTTAAATCCTCACCAGTGGGTAGAGGTGGAATAGAAAGGAATAAAAGCAAAAGTGACTAGCCTCCACTGTTGGGTTTTTTTCCCTTGATTCCTCGTTTCTTTTTTAACCAATTCCACTCCATTTGGTGCAACACTCTTAGCTTCTCCTTGTATTCAGGAAGTAGAAATAAAACAACTTCTGCCAATCCCCTCGTGGTCAGGGAAGCAGGGATATGGCCATTCTTGCAGCAAACTGCTGTTATCCTGAGCTTAACTGTACTTCACAAATCAGTTAGCAGCTACAGCCTCAGAGCAGGGCCATCAGCAGTATAACCTTCACAGGCCAAGACTTGCACTCCTGGCTCCCTGCTCTTCAACTGCCCAAGATTGTGCCAGATGTGATCCTTTGGTGTTTACTAAGCTACTTCCCAAACAGGGCTCCATTCTTAATATTATAATAGCTCAAAAAGTATGCTTTTCTTTTTTTTTTAAATATAAGAGCCATTTATCCAGCTTTATATGAAATGGAATATCCTTGTTATGAGAATTAGGGAAAACATACATTTGTTTTCATAATTATATTGTGATTAAAATATTTCTGTCTTGAATAGAAATAATTGTCCACGAGGTATTTTTAAGAATTAGCAAACATTTGTGTTTTGAGGTAGGTACATGACACAGGTTCATTTTAAAGAAATTCCTTTTTCAAAAAATAAGTGAAGAAAAGCATGTCTTGCCATCCCAAACAAATAGAATATATAAATAAGAAAATGCTGGTATATATATTTTCAATAAGTTCACTTTACTTTTCACTGTGAATTGTTTTTAACCCTTTCAGTGGTTTTCTTCTCATGTACACACAAATCCACATGCATGCACAGCTCTCACCTTCCTCTGATTTGGTCTTGGTCATGCTATTTTCTTTGAGTAATAGAAATCAATTTCTGAATACCGATTACCATCTTTTTGAAAATGATACTTCAGAAATACTGCAGCTCAGATATTTCTTAAGACCAGTTGTATTTAGGGCATATCTCACAGCTGTTAAGTTATAGTTCCATGGTAACTTCTAGATTACCCACAACTGCATGTTGCATTTCAGTGGATTGGCTATAGAGTAGTTGTGAGTGTTTCAATTTTCAGAAACATCCCTAGGTTATTACAACACACAGCAGTGCTATAATCGTCTTCTCCACCTTCCATAGTATTCAGCAAGAAACTTTTTCTTCAAATAAGTTCTCCCATGAACAATTATATTAATTGAACAGAGTTCCACCTTTTTTTTCGTTCTGTAATATACTTTAAAAACTGCATTTGTTTGTATTCAAGTATTTCAAGTGTATGTAATTTAAGAAAAAAACAATGTCATTCCCCAAGTCAGCACCATCTATTGCCATCTAGTGACCACTCACAATATTGCAACAGGGTTGTGTGTGATCCCCAGGTACTGTGCGGTGATGGAATTACCTTGTGCTAGTAGTAGATTTAATAGTAATAATTTATTAAAGTAAAACTGTGTGACATCGGTATAAAGAAAATAAAAACTTGCTATCTTACTTTAAGTTACCTCTTTGGCCAAAAACACTGTAGTAGTATTTAATCTTGTCAGGATTGATGCTTGAAAATTAAAAAAAAAAATATATTAGATATTGGCCTTATAACTATTTAAATCTACTTTAATTATTCTCAACTCCAATTAGGTTTATTTCATGTCATGTCTGTTCTGCATTACTTATCTGAATCAAGGAGTTCTGTTTATATAGCACAATGATTTTTGCCCTTTTAAATATGGCATCATTGGTTTTATAGTTAAACATCTCATTAAATTATTGAGATGGTATATTATTTTGAAGGTAATGAGTAAAGCGCAAGGAGGTGATTCACCCAGACTTGTGCAGGAAACCTGCAGTGGAACAGGGAATCAGTCACATCTCCTTTAATCCTGGGACTATCTGTCCAAGGTACTGAATTTTCCTGCTGTGTCCCTTTATCTGTGTGACCAGTGATAGTTCAGTAGCAATTTAAGGCAGTCTTAATAAACCTTTTTTCCCCTGATCATCGCTCTTTCTGTACAAGCATTCTTAAATGGATTCCAGCTTCCTTCCATGCACCACTATTAGACCTAACCAAATGAGGAAGAAATTGTGGATCTCAATCATATCAACTGATATCAAATGGCTTTCCCATTTCCTGTGAACAAAGGGCAGCTTAAGGAAGGATGTGGAAATACAGCAGGAAGAGAAGGGGAGACCATGTAACCTGTCACTGTAGGCTTCCATTTGTAAGAACTGTGGGCTTAAGTCACTATGAAACCGTATCCTGAATATAGCAGCATGAGGGAATATTCATTTAAAATGCAACTGATGATGTGCATTGCTTCATTTCAACTCTAATTGCAAAATGTCTGTCACTTTACTAAATCACTGTGGAAGTGTCTTGAAAACTTTTAAAGTTCTTTTCATCTGAGCTAAAATCGCTTTTGACATTATTTTACCAGACTTTTATCTCTCTAAGGAATAAACACTTAAGTATTTTCCATATATGTTATAAATGCACTCTAATTAAAGGCACATTTTTGGCTTTTTAGGTTTTTTCAGTGTTGTCTTAGCTTTTGTAGAACTTGCCCTTTGTAAAACAAAAGCATTGAAATTGATTTTAATTTAGGTTTAATACAATTAAAACTGTACCACTAGCTTGTGCTAGTGACGCAAGGAAGTGATGCCGAAGGACTTTGGTTCCTCTATGATTTAAAGGAGAAAGACTGCATGAATCATTGTGTCTTTTGCCTAACTGTGCTGCAGTACAGCTCTTTGGATTCACAGGACTGTGAATCTCTGCTTTCATAACCTTTCCACAAGCATACAGTAGACAGAGAGGAAGGGTAAGGTATCCTTGTCCTCTTTCACCTAAATAAAGTACTTATGAACTATACGCTTTGTATAACTAAAGATGATTTTTAGTCTAGGGTTTATTGAACCTACTCTCAGAATTCTACATATCATGGACATTTATACTTATTTCTAAATATTTCATAAATAATATTTTAAGTAGTTAAGGTGGTGATAAGGGAAATATGAAAGTGTATAATGCAGTGACCACGAAGAGAAGTACAGTTATACTGTGGTGCATTAATGGAAAAACATAACCCCACCTGAAATTTTTGTGCAAGTAAGTCCAGTGAGTTACTAGAACTACTTTAGATTAGTATAGGTAATGTTAGCCCCAGATTTTCATAATAAAAGAGATATTGTGCTATAAAACAATAGGCCAACTCTCATTCATGTCCTGAATTGCATAACTTCAGTCCCTCTTTTGGGATTTTTTTTTTCATGAAGGTGTGAAAAATCTGAAGGCTCTTAATCTTTAGAAATTAAATACCATGATAATACATCAGCCCTAGCTGTAGTCTTTGGGATTTTTACTGGCAATACTTAATGTGTTTTACTCCTCACAACTATGCCTTGTATTAATCAAATTATTACAACATGGAGAGTCTTCTGCCTTTGCATAGCCTGGCCTTGATAAGTGAAGGCAGGCACTTTCTGCCTCTGCTCACGGTCTCTCCAAGGAGCTGTAGCTGAGGCTGGCACAGCCCTGTGTCCTGTGAGTGTAGCCACAGCGTGTCCTCAGTCAGCACAGAACACATGGAGTGTTTCTCACGTGTGCCTGCCAAACCCTGTGTAGCCAAGGCTCTGAAAGTCAGGTACTGCCCAGATCATTGAATTACTGTAGTTTAACCATGAAAAGCTGGACTGCAGGAACTAGTCACAAGGCCATTTCTTTCCTATGAGAAATGGGACCATGGTTTTGTTTATTATTCTGTCACTGGTCGTTAGCTGGCACTGCATCTTGAGTAGGCAGATCTCAGAGCTGCCCTTTGCCAGCACAGCCTTCATGCAGATGGGGAGTGGTGTCACTTGCAAAGCTTTCTGGAAATCAGACCCAGCCCACCCCTCACTTAGTTTTAGCCCAAATCAGTTTTCTATGTAGATTACCTGCTTTTATGCAGTATGGTAGAAAAAATCAACAGTTTGGGTGGAGAGACAGAAAATGTCTAGTTTCCCTTGGCAATAGTACTAGTTTATAATCTGAAAATGTGCAGAACTGCAGTTTCTGTCATGCGATGCTGTTCACAAGTCTGTGCACAGGCAGTTCCTAAAGCTTCGGAATATAGTTTGTTAAACCATGTAAATTATACATATATTTGAAACATGAGACATTTCTCAAGTATGTATACCCCCAGTCACACAGAGGGTGCTTGACTTTCATCCTAAATCATAATCTAAGCTGAAAAGTAAATGTTTTGGGTTTGGGCATTCAGCTACAAAAAGAATATGATCCAGTTAAAAAAAACAGGAAAAAAAGATCCCCTGCGTACGCAGTTCCCATATAACTGAGAAAAGACCAATATATTCAGCTACTAGTGCCTATGGTGATTGATAAAAATTTTGTCCCACTGACAAGTTGCAATTACTTTAATTCTGTTTGAGTATGTCTTTAAAAAGAAGTCCACATAAAGGGTGAAGAATGCTGATCTTGAATACCTGATGGTGTGCTTTTTACCCTTAGGACTATGTGCTTGCTGTAGATGCTTACCACACCGTCATCAAATATTACCCACAGCAAGAGCCTCAATTGCTGAGTGGAATTGGAAGGATTTTCCTTCAGGTATGCATTTTATTCTAAACTTGCTACATAATATTGCTATTGATAGCTATGTAGAGAATAATTGTGGCATTTAAAACTATAGCTGTTTTTATAGGGCACATGTCAAATTGTAGAAGCAGTGGTCAAAACAAAACCCTTCTACCATGTGATATTAGATAAAACTAGGAAATATGAAGCATCTATTGTATTAAAAGTGTATTAGCAAACAAAGAACATGCTGTAGAAAATCATGCTGGTAATTAATCAAAAAGTAACGTTCTGCTTTCTCTAAAACTAGTGATAAAGCTCCACTGATGTCAGTGAGCCAGAATTTCACTAAAAATCTCATGTCTCCCTGCCTCAGACTGCATGCAGCTCTCAGTCACACTGTGTAACTACCTTCTTCACCTAGAAAAAAATCTGATTGTCCTTCTTTTGTCCAGATTATATCCCTGAGAAATCAAGAGAGGGCACATTAAAAGAAAAAAACAGGACAGTACAAGTATAATAAATGTCCATGTAACCATACTTAATGATTATAAGTAAAAATAGATGTCTTTTTGTTTTTCATAAAATGATGCATATAAATAGCTATCTGATTGTTTTAACTCTTAGTATCTTGCAAGTTCTTTGCAGTTCTTCCATATTTCTGATACTGATATTTCAAACTTTTTTATTATTAGTGATAAATCTAATTTTGAGTTGTCAAGTATTTACCCGTGATCTTATTTGTGACATTCATGTTCTAAAATTATATTGAAATGGAGTAATTTCCTCTTGATAGATAATTGTTAATATTATTTGCTTGAAATCATAGAATGTCATTCAAATTCAATTAGGGATTTTCAGTTCTCAGCAGGAACATGCTTACACAGTGTGGTAGGCATGTCTGTCTTTAAAAGTCTCTAGTTTAAAGTGGATCTCCATCACTATAGAACAATTTATAATATTGGCTGCATGCATTAATTATTATCTAAATAGGCAACCTAGTAATTATACATATTAATGAACAGTATTGTAAATATGCATAATACTATTGGAAATGGAAGATATTAATAGTTCTGATCTTACTGGGAAAATCACTAGGTACGTTACTGGTACTGCTCTAGTGTCACACTCTCCAGCCTGTTTGTAGCTCCATTTGCTATAGAAAAATTGTCACTCTCAGGAGGAAAGTGTCTCATGACTCACAGAGTCATTTGAAGGCATTGACCTCCGTGGCTCTAGCTGTGACAGCAGGCCTTTAGGGCTCAGTGGTTCTACTGTCAGAACTGCACATAGCAAAAGGGGGTACAAGGAGTCCTGGATATTTTCACATGATCTAGATAGAAGTTAAAAAGAATCACTTCTGGATGCAAATGTTTTCCTTTCTTCTAGCACTTTAAGGAGATAAGGTTTTATTGTTTGTCCTGTTGTCTTTTTCTGTGGCACAATCTTCAGCTCTTTCTGGGTGGTACTATTGCAACAGATGCAAGATTTTGATATATTAAGAGAAAGAGGCAGTGTGCAGGTAAACAAAGCCAAGAAGTTCAAATTAAAGAAAGACAAATGTGTTGCAGGCCAGGGCACCATCATTTTGGTAAGATCACTCTGTGGTGTGTGTGCACGGTTGACAAGGCAATCTCTGGAAAACGAATAAAATGTCTTGCAGGTAAAATGGGAAAGCAATTTTCTCGTATTCAAATGTTACAGCTTCTCAAAAACAGGTAGTGATTCCTAAATAACCACAGACTGTGCTGTTAACTTTGAACTTTTTCCAAGAGAGGCATAAAGGAGCCAGATTCCAGTTGTTTATCAGCCACAGATACTGTTTGACAATAGACATCACAGATATGAAACAAAACAGTAATGTAGAATGAAGTGTTATTCAGGAGCTGAACAGAAAAAATTTGTAATCTTCCTCAACATGTAAAATTTTATGTGTGATTTTTTTTCTTAATTAAATTGAGCTTACTAGTTTAAGGCATCATATCTTCTTTATCTTCACATGTAAGTGGAGCATAAAGAGGTCTAAATCTGATGTGTAGCCTTTAGCTGTTACCTTAAGTAAGTGGGAAATGAGGATCAGAGAAGTGGAGAATGCAGGAAAAGACAGAGGCTGTCACAGGGAAATTTTCAGAAGCACTGTAATTCTGTCAGCAATCACCTGCCTGGTAAAACAGAAATTCACATGAAACAAGGAAACACATTTTAGTCTCTAAGATTACATTGTGTCTTGCTAATAGACTCTGCTCATTGACCAACCTATCCAAGTTTGCCATTTAAATAACTACATTAAAGAATTTAAAAAGTAGAAAGGCTACTTGACTTTACCCTCGTAACAAATTGCTGCAAAACAGAGTCAAAAGCAATAAATAAATCCTAGGAGTATGTAAGAAAAATAATCTCATTTTGCAAACAAACAGCAAACTTAAACATGTAATATATTGGAGGATCCTTGTTAGAGATTATGATTCTTTGAGGTTAACAATGGAATTTTCATTTTTATTTGATGTGCTAATTATGATTAGATACTGAAATCACACTTTCTGAACAAAATTAAATAAAATTAAGTGATGAAGATAGACCACTTTAACATTTTAATGACTAATGAAAACTAATGATTTCTTTAACTGGTCTTCCCTCCCTCCCCCAGAAAAAGTAAATTGTTTCCCCTCTGCTGGAATAATGAGAATTAAGAGTTTGGTATGTTTACTGAGAAGATATAAGATGCTGCTAAGAAATAAGAACTCTTCATGAACACAAATAACGTGTGATTAGTCTCAAAGCATATTAGATTTGGACTCATCAAGCTCCCAGTGGAGGAAACTGGTAGCTTGCTTTAGAAATTGATTATTCTCATGGTTAAGGAATTCCTTCTAATTTCCAGGCTAAAAATACTCAAGGACAGATTCATTTACACTTGTGCCAGCATTATCCTCTAGTTAAATGTAATTATTTTCTTGGTGATTTACATCTTTAATGTTATTTATAGAGGGAAATTGTATCCTTTGACGTTATAACTGAATGGATAAGATTTTAGAATGAATGGTTTTTTTGTTTGAGTCCAATTACATTACACCTGAGAGAAATGCATCTGTTTCATGAGATAAGACAATTAATGGGTATTCCAGAAATGCTTGGTAGGTGGACAGTTGGATCTTTAACTGCAGTGTTCAATTGGATCATCTCTTAAATGTAAAGAAGAATAATTTCTTTATGTTGACATATGTTGTGGTTAGAGGTAAAAGCAGTATCTGTTTAATATTAGTGGTGTTAGTAGGGCTTTGGACACTTGCCACTATGATATTCCCATAACCAAATTGTGAAGAAATCTAGATGAAGCCTTCAGGTGGATATTTGCTGTCTCTGAAAAGTGTACTTGTAAAGTCATTCACTGATGACTAGAAGGACTTCCTAGATGTTCTTTTCCTCAAGGATCTCTGTAGGCTTTGTAGTACTTGTATTTTTTGGTTATGTGCTTGTATGATGAAATGAGAAGCATGTTTGTAAAAAGTACAGATGATGCCAAGCTGGGAGTGATACAGACACTAAGAAGGGCATGATCAGAATGCAAAATAATCTTGACAAGTTGAGAAACTGAAATGTTAAATTGGCTCTGATTCAAACAGCGAAAGGCAAAATGCTTCCAAAGGCTGGGAGTAATATACAGAATGGGAAGCAACAATAAGGCACTGTTCTGTAGAAAGGAATTAGGTTAAGGGTAAGAAAATACACATGGGTAAAAAAATAGGGCTTCAAAATACCTGATGTAAAAGCAAACTCCATATTCACATGTGAAATATAATATGATTCTTCCATTCTCACTGTTGGAGAGAGATCAGTTGGAGTGTTGTGACCTTTTAGGTGGACGCCTGGGGAGGATGTGAAGTAACAGGAGAGAGTTCAGAGATCAAGAATGATCAGAGAAACCAGAAAGCATTATCTATGAGAAAGGGGTGAACCTTGATTTGCTTGAAAATGAATTCTTATTTTAGTAGGAAAAAGTAAAAATTTTCAACTATGTTAAAAAAGAGAACTTGTATAGTTCTCCCTGACCACTATGAACAGGACAAAAAGTTGAGGTAAAAACTGCAGTAAGGTAGAGTGTATTTTCTAATCCTAAGGCAATTTAAGTGTTCTGGATAAGTTTCCTGCTAAGACTCAGATGTGTAATACTCACTATATGAGAACTCTAAGAAGACTTCAACACATTTGTCACAAACATTTTTCATAGTGTTGTCCTGTTCTTGAACAAACAGGTGATCTCTTGAGGGCTCCTGGAATCTCCTCACCTGAGGGCTGCCTGGTTTTCATGGCTGTATGCTTTGAACTAATTTATTTTTACTCCTTTTGATAGATTCTGATAGATTTATTTTACTCAGTACTAAGTTGTCATCTTCTTCCATCTCTCCAGCCTGAAAAGTACACTGCTAATTTATTTTCCAAAGGGGCCTTCTTCAAATATTTTTTTTTATCTCAAATATCTCAAGTATGTGACATACTCTTAGGTGAAACACCCCTTCCTTTCTAGAAATCCCCTTGTTCATCCCCTCCTCCCATAAAAGTACTGTACTTCTGTACTTCTTTATGCCAGCTTTCAAATCTCTTCACTCCTTTAGCCTGCACAACCCACTCACTGGTGTTCTTTAATCTGCAGATGGACTGTCTCCCCAATAACTTCAGTGGCCCATTGCACTGGGGTTGTTTTGTGACATGCTGTGGTGTGTGGCCCCTGGCTGTGGCCCAGAGGCTGTTGGTTAACCAGGAGTGGGTCTTGTGCTAACTACAAGACTACTGTATTCCATTTCTCCTGCCTTATTGACAGCTTCTGCCTGTGTCCGTCTTCCTGCGGAGTAACGCCCGGTCTCACTCGTGGTGACTCTGACCTTGTCTCATTTTCAGCTACTTTATGAACTCTGGAACTGGTTACAACGAAAGAGCCAAATGAGGATTGTGGAGCCTTCCTGCCCTACTGTCCATGAGTGCTCCACAACCCCCAGCTGAGGCCTTAGGCCAAGTGCACATGACTTTGGGATGCTTTCTGTGCCCTTAATATGGCTCTTCAAATATATTATTTGATAACAGGTGTTACCCAGTTGTCTTGGTGCCAAGCGATTGATAATGGACTTTGATGTGTTTGGTATGTTTTGTGTCTTACATCTTTCTTTGTGAAAGATATAATCAGGATGTATCTCTTTTCTTTTTATTCTGATAACTTTCTTATGATTTTTCTGTCTAGATTGGAGACATAAAAACTGCAGAAAAATATTTTCAAGATGTTGAAAAAGTGACTCACAAATTGGATGGACTGCAGAGCCAAATTATGGTTTTAATGAACAGGTAGATAATTTAATAGCTAAATAAAACATTTTAAAATACAGTTTTGGAAAGTATGCAAGGTGATCATTAAACTACCCTTGAGACAATCCTGTACTCTCTCTTTTGTGTGACTACATCTGTCATAAGTGAGACTGAATGGCATACAGACCCAGGAGATCTGTATTACTTGGTACAGTCATATTATCCTCCATTGAAATTGTGATCCTTCAGTTGATTTTACAAAGCTTTTTCTCATTCTTCCAGGCATTGGATATTTTCACTCTGCTTTTCCAATATACATTTGCATAAGTAACTCTTAGGAGAGGAGAAGCTATTTTGGGCCGTTATCCTACAATTAGATCTGCCAGGGAAGTTACCACCTGGTAGCTTCAAAGTGTGCTTGAATACATTGTAGTAAATGGAGCTGCGTGATGGGTGACTCAGTTTGCAGTGGTTAGCACATGGGCTTAATATATTTAGAATATGCTATTCAAAAGCGTTCTGAAAATGATATGGCTAATTTCATGAAGAGAATAATTCCAGGAAGAGAGTATCTGCATTTAAATTACTAAAAACACAATGAAGACTGTTGCTTTGGTAGGCAGAATATATAATAGCTGAGTGATCCAAGTTGTCATTCCATTTGTCTGTAAATCAGTGTCTCCTTCACACCGTGAAGAACAAATGTCAGAAACTCTCATATCTAGAACAGGAAAAATAAAAAATGGTGTCCATTCTATTTTAAATGTATTATTACCTTGGTTTTTTGAGGAGAACTCATTTATATGTCACTTACTTTCTAGAGCATTTCTCCACCTTGGTCAGAATAATTTCTCAGAAGCCCATCGATTTTTCACAGAAATTTTAAGGATCGACTCATCAAATGCTGTGGTAAATCTCCAAACTGCTACATTTATAATGAACACCTAAATTATTCTCGTAATACTTCATGCATGGATTTAATTAGTACCCAGAGTATGCTCAGAGCTTTATAGAAAAATTGGATTTGGCATGTGTTTTCAGTATACATAAGGATAAGATGGAAAGTGGGATGAGAAATTAAGAACCAGTCCATATGAAGGGCATGAATACTTAGGCATGCACGTAGAAATTCTGAGATGCTCTGTTTTACGGGATCTTCGCAAAAGCACTTTTTTTTTTTGCAGTCACTGTTTTTAGTGTAGACGTGCATGTCAGGAAAAGAAATGGCAGCTCTCAACATGTATAAGATTAACTTGATTTCACACAAAATTGAAGGGATGTTTTAATTTTAAACATTATATTTTTAACACATTACATATCAGAGCCTTGGGGTCCTGTCACAAGTGGACATCAGAGAAGAGTTGTTTATTTACCTCTGGGTTTTCTACACCTGGCGGTTTTCAGTGCATGGTCATGTAACAGTATTCCTAAGAAGTCAGACATCTTACGTCCAATAGTCTGATCCAAAGCCATTTAAAGACTGAGGGTACTGAGTTTAAGAAGCACATGAGTTGCATCATTTTGCTGTAAAATAGTGTGTATTATAAATCACAAGATCTGTAAGGTTTCCTGAAGGGAAAGAAAGATATTTCTTTTAAAAGGCCATGTTCTTTCTTTGTCTGCAGCTTTCAGAAAGTGTGAAAGTTTCTGCTGCTAAACATGTTATATGACTTTGTACTGTTAAAATTGTTCGGTAACTCATAAAACCTGTTCTGTGTGGTAAGGAAAATGGAACCTGACTTGATCATTTATGATGTATTTAGACGGCCCTATCTGCTGGATTTACTTGAAGTCAGTTGTAGATACCTTTGTGATAAGATAATATCTTTCTCTTGCTTATGTGGATCTTCTATATGTAAGCCAGAGAGAAAAACACTTCTGAAGATATAGTGAAGTCATTAAAAAAACCCTATGAAAATGACAGCATGCAGAGGCTCATGTAGTTTCTGAAATTTGTTTCACTTGGCTTTCAAAATTAACTAATGTCCTATACTATTTATATTTCAATTTAGACTCTGTCTTTTAGAGTTTCAGCTCTTAGAAGTCAGCAGATCCTAACTGGCACAGGGTAGATCTTGAGAATAACAAGAAGAAAAGGATTGCATTGTATAATTGATAATGTGTTTTATTTTGAATACACACCAAAAAAATAATAATTCTTAGCATAGAGTAAATCTGTTGTAAATCCAGATGTTAGACTTCTTTTCTTTCATCGCTTGTAAATACATATATATATATATCCACACACCCTATTTATTTACAATATATTTTTCTCTAGGCAAACAACAATGCTGCTGTTTGTCTTCTTTACCTGGGAAAACTGAAGGATTCCCTTCGGCAGTTGGAAGGAATGGTTCAGCAGGACCCTAAACACTACCTACACGAGAGCGTTCTCTTCAACTTGACCACTATGTATGAACTGGAGTCATCTCGCAGTATGCAGAAGAAGCAGGCACTTCTAGAGGCTGTTGCTATCAAAGAGGGTGATAGCTTTAATACTCAGTGTCTCAAATTAGGGTAGATCATTTCCAACTAATTTTTTCCAGCAAAGAAAAACAATTAATTTTTTTTAAATTGTATATACTTGCTGATGTGTAAATGTGAAATAAAATCTATTCAATTATTAATATTCAGCGCCATTAGTACAGAATCTATTGGCTCTATACAGGCATGTCTTTGTGAAGACTTTGTGGTGACCTAGAGCCAGCTTCATCCCTACAAGTCTTATTACTGTTCAGTTATTCTTCACTACAGTGCACTATACATATATGTATATATATACAGTCAGCTATTCAGATTCTTTTGTAAGAAAAACTTAATTTGACCTTATATTGCCTTGATTTTTCAGTAGTTGGTGAGCAAATCACAAGCTAATTTCATCAGCTAAGAGTTACTGACAGAATATCAGTATGTGTACTACAGAAAGGAAATTCTAAATGCACTTCACTTGCGTATACTGTGTGTGTCTCATGTCCCCATCAGATTCCTGGGTATTGCACCTTTGTGTGCCCACAGGTCTCAGAGGGGGTTGCTCAATAACCACCATCCAGTCACAGCATGGCTGAAGTTGGAAGGAACTGCTGAAGGTCATCTTGTCCAAGTCCTTAGTGGCAGGGTTGTCCAGGACCATGTCCAGAGAGCATGTGAGGGAGTTGTACAGTCCCGCACAGTGTCAGTTTCCCGCAGTGTGAGGGACTCTACTAAGTGATCTCCCTATACTTCCTTGGTTTTGTGTTGGAAAGCTGCTCCACTCTGGCATTCTGCTGGGCAGAACACTGTCAGTTAAAGCAGAAACTCAACCCATTTCAACTCAGTTCCTCTCCTTTCCTATTATCAAATAAAAACATTGTGCACAAAGTGTTTCCCAGGGAAGGTGATGCAGAACCTGAGGCAGACGTATCTATAGGTTAGGCCACGCAGAGTAGAAGCAAATGGGGTGCAGGACACAAGGCATTTATCAGTGATGCAACAATATCTGCATACGCTGATTTTGGCATCCCTTGGAACACAGATTTTTTAGGAATCACAGTACCACTGTGGTATCAGTGCATTTCACATTTCTGCTTGCGTTTCTCCCTTCATCTCTGTTGTAACAATTCAACGCAGATACTCCCACTCTTTGTACATGAATACAATATATACATCTGTTCATTTGGGGGTTTTATTGTTTTGAGATTTAATGTTTAGCAGTTGGAGTAGCTTCTTGTCATAAATCACTGCCATGGGACAATTCTGTAAGTGTGTTACATTTTTTAAGACCACATCCATCAATTAATTCTCAGTCTCTTTAAATACACCCACCTGTATTTTTTAATAACCAATAACTCATTTTTATGCTTGTCCATCTGGAGATACTGTACAGGGGCCAAAGAGTTGTCCTCAAAAATCAGGTTGTTTAAAAACTTCTGCAATCTAGACGTGCAGAGAAATAAGATTTGGTCGCCTCAAAAGACATAAGCTTGCAGCTAATACAGGGACAGAATTTGCTCCATTTTTACAGGATATTTATGTTTTACAGGTCATATTTGTACACTGAAACATCAGCTAGTTATGTACCAATCAACTGAAAAAATATTCAGTCATTTGGTATTTCTGTTTCTGGCTTGGCCTCTAGGTTCTACAGCTGGGTCTGAGCTGTGCAGCACCTGGGTAGACTTGTCCTAAGGTACTACTAGTAAATTAAAAAACGAAATATTCAGCACCACCTGCTTCAGCTGGGTTTAAACACCATTTACATAACTTCAGTGAGTAATAAAGTAACAAAAGTAGCTACATTTGTATTATTATTTATGAGGTTTTACATTTGTTTTAAATACTGCTATGATTTTAGACAAGGTTTAACAGTAATTAGACAAATTCTCCATTTACGTTGTTACAAGTGAGTTGAAATCACTGTAGTTTTCATTTGTTACAGCTGTTAATCTGATCTGGTATGTTACTCACTGTATTCATTATTAAGTTATTTTAGTAGTATGTCCTCCAACACAGGTCACTTTTCTTGGGCATGGGGTTTCTTAGGAGATAAAAAGAAATGCTGGTCTGTGACCACTGTCGTTCTCAAAGACTTTTGAGAGCCTTGAACAATCTACCAGGGCATGTAGTGATAGGACAACAGTTTTAAACTAAAAGAGGGTAGGTTTAGATTGGCATAAGGAAATTATTCTTCATGATAAGGTTGGTGCCGCACTCAAGAGATTGCCCAGAGAGGTTGTAGACTCCCTATCCATGGAGGTGTTCAAGACCAGGCTGGATGGAGCTTTGAGCAATCTGGTCTAGTGGAACGTGTCTTTGCCCATGGGAGGGGGTTCAACTAGAGGATTTTCAAAGGTCCTTTCCAACCCAAACTGTTCTGTGATTCCAGTTAAAAATTTTTACAGTGACATGTAAAATAATATAACAGAGATTCACATGCATTTAGCTGTTGTACTATCTTCTACACTCAGGAAGCTTCATTTGTCTGTTCCAATACTAAGTGAAAGTAGCATGATCCGTCATCATCCAGCATGCTGAAGCCACTTGCCTCTGTACAATCAAGGAGTAAAATGCTCCCTTTTTTGATTCAGTAGTGCCTGATACTGTACATGTAAATGACAGCCTGTGTTCTGATCGGCAGAGAATAAAAATTTATTATCCTAGTCAGAGTCAAATAACCATTAAAAAAGAAACACTCTGAAAATATAATCCCCTGTTCTCCAAGTTTCTCTACATTCTAATTCATGTGTACTACTGCATAGGTCTCACTTCAGTATGTTTGCTGTGTTCTTATTAGTAGAAGCTTTTACTCGGATAAAAATGCCATTAGAGGAGACTTGGACTGGGTGACCTCTAAGCTCAGTGAGCCATTAAACAAGTGACATCCTGGTAGACTTGCAGAATAATTAAAATTTAAATGCAAAGGCATATTGTCACTGCTGGATGTATGCAAATTGTTAACTGTTTATGAAATGCAGAAAAGACTGTCAATGTCACTTTATGGCTTGGATTTAACATATATCCAAGTTAAGTGTTTGAATTCCCGATATTCTTCCAGTAACACATTTAAATGCTCTATGTGATGTTAAAGCATTAAAGCTAAGGACAAAATTTGTCCTCAAAACATTAATTACACCAGGCAATTCTGTTAAATTCAATGAATTCAGCTGAATTTAATGAGGGTTCCTGGTGTAAATGAGGGCAGAGCTCAGTTCTAAAACACAGCATGCATGTGTCATCTGGCTAAGTGAGAAAAGCAGTGGAAAGCAGTGCCTGAATGAGCTGATTGTTGTATTCAAGTCTTAAAGCCTAATGTGCTTTAACAGAAGTTTTGCATTTAAATTTCCACTTTTATTAAAAGAGGAGCAAAGAAGCTGTACTTCAGACATTCAGATAATTGCATTATGCACAGAGACCCTGATCCTCAGAAGGATTTGAGCATCTATCTGCTATTTCTAATACCTAACTGCAGTTCAGGTGATAATGGCATCCCCTAACCAGCTGGTCATTTACATTTTCCTGGTGCCTCAGTTTTCGGACTGGACCCGTTAAATGTTCCCCAAAAGGCATGTGCTGATGTGCCTGAGACTCTACAATAGACTTCAGCTAGTGTACTGGAAAGGATGATGATTCTTCTACCTATACCATCCTTCATGTCAGCAAGAGCACTTATGTGCAAGCTGGATGAGTTCACTGACCCGGTGGAAAAACTCACCAAGCCAACAAACACCCTCTTCAGATTCCTCTTCATCCTGAGGCTTTCAACACAAGGATGTGCTCGGAATTGCCACCCTGCCTGGGTAGGCTGCTGTTTTTTCTGCACTATAGACCTAATAAGAAGTAGACAGACAACCCTTCTCTGAAGCCTTTGTTGCAGGTGTTCTGCAAATCAGAGAGGGGGATAAGTGGGGTGTAATCTGTGTGCACAGCTAAGCTATGACTCTCTTATTTGTACGTCAGCTGATGTGCTTCATGGACCTCATGTGTTGTAGGTGTCCAAAAGAAGATTGCAAGATGGGTGATACTGCGATGTCCAGTTGTAGCTGGCTGTAGTGAGAAATATACATTCCCTCTCTTGCTTCAACTTGCAATGGAGAAATGTGTGAAAACAGAACTGAAGCATCAGATTTAAAGGTATTTCAAGTAGGCAAGAACCACAGCAGCCAGGGTCAACTGCTCTGAGGTTGCTCAGCTAGCAACCTATATTGCTGCTGTCATGAGCAGAGGCCAAGGAGACTAAAGATGTTAGAACAAGCTGAGTTTTATCCATTAGCTCATACCTATAATATGAGTTCAATGGAAGATGCCATCCACCCCTTCCACCCTGATTTCTACTCACCTAATAAAGCATTGGGGAAAAAATTATCTTACCAGTAAGGTACCTTACGAGGTAGGAACCTGCACAGAGTTTCTGCCATTGGAACAGCAATTCTGTAGTGCTGAATACAGCAAGTTCCAGCACTAACTTTCAGGCAATGATAGGGGAAAGCTGCTTTCCCACTTAGTTCTCCCAGTGAGTTTGAGGATTACAAATTTAAACAGTCTCATGTTCAAGAGGTGTGAAAAATGGTCACAACCCTGGTGTTAGGAGGAAGAGAAAGGTGTGGGTGGGAGAAGGACCTAGGTGCTGCCTTTCCAAGCTGTTCTGGATCAACACCTGGTCCTGTCCTATATTTGGGCAGTCATCTGCAGATGGTTATTATGTATGAGAGTCATTAAAATCAATCCACTTGAAAGCCAGCAATAGTGGCTTATAATTTTCCTATAAAGAGGGAAAAAATTGGATGTTACTTGTTTGAGGTAAGGAAAGAAGAAGGGATAAAGTTCCTCTTTGGCTTTGAAAAACTGTCAAGACTGTCAGTGCTAAATTGAAAATACTGAAGTAGAAAGCTGCAGAGCTGTTTGTTAATAAAAAATCCAACAACAAAACAAAAACAACAACAAAAAACCCCACAACAAATTTCCCCAAAACAAATCCAAAAAACAAACACTATTTGTGCAAAGCAAGGCATGTGAGCAAGTAGTCCAGACTCTGGGACACACTCCAGTGGCAGGCAGCAGGATTGAGCCCCAGCCCTGTGGTAGCAGCCTTTGTTGCAGGTGTTCTGCAAATCAGAGAGGGGGATAAGTGGGGTGTAATCTGTGTGCACAGCTAAGCTATGACTCTCTTATTTGTACGTCAGCTGATGTGCTTCATGGACCTCATGTGTTGTAGGTGTCCAAAAGAAGATTGCAAGATGGGTGATACTGCGATGTCCAGTTGTAGCTGGCTGTAGTGAGAAATATACATTCCCTCTCTTGCTTCAGATCATCCTGTGTGCAATCACACAGCACCTACAAGATGGACAAGGAATCAGACCCAGCCAGCACGGGTTTAGGAGAGGCAGATCCTGCTTGACCAACCTGATCTCCTTTTACGATCAGGTGACTCACCTGGTGGACAAGGGGAAGGCTGTGGATGTGGTCTATCTGGACTTCAGCAAAGCCTTTGACACTGTCTCCCATAATATACTCCTGGAAAAGCTGGCAGCCCATGGCTTGGACAGGGGCACTCTGTGCTGGGTTAGGAACTGGTTGGAGGGCCGGGCCCAAAGAGTGCTGGTGAACGGGGCTGCATCCAGCTGGCAGCCGGTCACCAGTGGTGTCCCCCAGGGATCAGTGCTGGGCCCAGTCCTGTTTAATATCTTTATCGATGACCTAGATGAGGGGATTGAGTCCATCATCAGCAAATTTGCTGATGACACCAAGTTGGGAGGGAGTGTCAACCTACCAGAAGGCAGGAGGGCTCTGCAGAGGGACCTGGATAGACTGGAGAGATGGGCTGACTCCAATGGGATGAAGTTCAACAAGGCCAAGTGCCGGGTCATGCACTTTGGCCACAACAACCCCCTGCAGCGCTACAGGCTGGGGACAGAGTGGTTGGAGAGCAGCCAGGTGGAAAGGGACCTGGGAGTCTGGATTGACAGGAGGCTGAACATGAGCCAGCAGTGTGCCCAGGTGGCCAAGAAGGCCAATGGCATCCTGGCCTGCATCAAGAACAGTGTGGCCAGCAGGAGCAGGGAAGTGATCCTTCCCCTGTACTCTGCGTTGGTGAGGCCGCACCTTGAGTATTGTGTTCAGCTCTGGGCCCCTCAGTTCAGGAAGGATATTGAGGTGCTGGAGCGGGTCCAGAGAAGAGCAACCAGGCTGGTGAAGGGACTTGAGCACAAGTCCTATGAGGAGAGGCTGAGGGAGCTGGGATTGTTTAGTCTAGAGAAGAGAAGGCTTAGAGGTGACCTCATCACTCTCTTCAACTACCTGAAGGGAAGTTATAGCCAGGTGGGGGTTGGTCTCTTCTCCCAGGCAACCAACAACAGGACAAGGGGACATGGGCTCAAGCTCTGCCAGGGGAAGTTTAGGTTAGATGTTAGGAAGAAATTCTTTACAGAGAGGGTGATCAGGTATTGGAATGGCCTGCCCAGAGAGGTGGTGGATTCACCATCCCTGGAAGTTTTTAAAAAGAGATTGGACATGGCCCTTAGTGCCATGATATAGTAATTAGAGTTGGATCAGGGGTTGGACTTGATGATCTTGGAGGTCTTTTCCAACCCAATCTATTCTATGATTCTATGATTCTATGATTCAACTTGCAATGGAGAAATGTGTGAAAACAGAACTGAAGCATCAGATTTAAAGGTATTTCAAGTAGGCAAGAACCACAGCAGCCAGGGTCAACTGCTCTGAGGTTGCTCAGCTAGCAACCTATATTGCTGCTGTCATGAGCAGAGGCCAAGGAGACTAAAGATGTTAGAACAAGCTGAGTTTTATCCATTAGCTCATACCTATAATATGAGTTCAATGGAAGATGCCATCCACCCCTTCCACCCTGATTTCTACTCACCTAATAAAGCATTGGGGAAAAAATTATCTTACCAGTAAGGTACCTTACGAGATAGGAACCTGCACAGAGTTTCTGCCATTGGAACAGCAATTTTGTAGTGCTGAATACAGCAAGTTCCAGCGCTAACTTTCAGGCAATGATAGGGGAAAGCTGCTTTCCCACTTAGTTCTCCCAGTGAGTTTGAGGATTACAAATTTAAACAGTCTCATGTTCAAGAGGTGTGAAAAATGGTCACAACCCTGGTGTTAGGAGGAAGAGAAAGGTGTGGGTGGGAGAAGGACCTAGGTGCTGCCTTTCCAAGCTGTTCTGGATCAACACCTGGTCCTGTCCTATATTTGGGCAGTCATCTGCAGATGGTTATTATGTATGAGAGTCATTAAAATCAATCCACTTGAAAGCCAGCAATAGTGGCTTATAATTTTCCTATAAAGAGGGAAAAAATTGGATGTTACTTGTTTGAGGTAAGGAAAGAAGAAGGGATAAAGTTCCTCTTTGGCTTTGAAAAACTGTCAAGACTGTCAGTGCTAAATTGAAAATACTGAAGTAGAAAGCTGCAGAGCTGTTTGTTAATAAAAAATCCAACAACAAAACAAAAACAACAACAAAAAACCCCACAACAAATTTCCCCAAAACAAATCCAAAAAACAAACACTATTTGTGCAAAGCAAGGCATGTGAGCAAGTAGTCCAGACTCTGGGACACACTCCAGTGGCAGGCAGCAGGATTGAGCCCCAGCCCTGTGGTAGCAGCCTGTGCATAACCCAGCCACAATTTTGTGTCCCCTTGTTACAGCATCACCAAGGACAACTTGCCTCTTTCCTATGAATAG